ACCTAATTACCTCAGGTGAGGAACTTGAGATTATTGTTGCCTCCTTTACAATCTGGAAATGAATCCTAATGTAACACAAAAACAATGATGCACATTTGCTCTGTGATGCATGAGCATGACTGAGTCGCATAATAAAAGTGTGGCTCTGATGATACAAGGCAAAAAATAAAACCTTGTCTTTAACATTTTATTGTTCTGCGGCAAGAATGAGTTTAATCTGTTGGAACAATATAATGTTTGAAGACAGCTGGTTGTGCGAAATGCTACTTAGGAGAGTCAGAGTTTTTAGATTATTTGTAAAAATAATAAAAGAAGTTGGCTTGTTCCAAAAACACACTGAGGTTTGGCGCTGCAAAGTGCAATACTTCCTAATCACTCTCGAGGCAGACCGAGATGGTGAAGATCAGATTACAGAATCTCCACTCCAGTTACCGAGCTTTTTATTTCCTGCCTCAGTTTCATTAGAGAGCAGCAGACCATCTGATAAGTTCCAAGACCAGCATGGCACTAGATCAGCGTTCTGCGGCACCAGTGATACGGCTGGAAGCCTCCAGGGCCAGAAATTATCTCACGCGGACCCAAACTTGTTTCAAAGTTGAGGGACTTTGCAGAGTGTGAGTGGAAGCCACAACGTCATCCGGGCCGGTGTAATTAGAAGCTTCGCCTGCAGCGCTCTTTAAACGGGCCAGACAGACGGGGAGGCCATCTGCTGTCCTGACCAGTTCTCAACCTCCTCATCTTCTGCCTCCTGTCCGTGGAAGAAACAAGCTCCCAACTCTTAGTCACATTCGCTCCAACCGACAGCCATCTTTTATACCCCACTATGCTATGTACCATTTAGTACTGAGCAGAAGTGGGTAGAGTAGCTCTACTTCAATATCCTACTGAAGTAAATAAAAGCGTTTTTCCCCCACATAACTAGTTATTACTCACCTCTGGAAGGAATGAAACTGACTGCAGTAGCTTTGACCTAAACCTCAATATGGGTTAATCTGGTTCTTCATGATGAGCACAAGCCTGTTATAAAGGACAACTGTGCCCTCTAGTGTTCAGTTGCTAGAAGCACAGAAGAGACTAACAGTGAACAGATACTTGCATATGCTAGAAAAAGAGAAAAAAACAAAACAGTATTTTCACATAACTGGTGACATCAAATTGATGTGGATGTGGCATAACTTTCCTCCAGCCGAACACAAACAAAACTGAAATTGTTATTTTTGGGTCTAAGAGGAACGATCTAGAGTCAGCACACAGCGTCAGTTGTTACAGCTGGAAACGAGAGATCAGGTCTGACATCTGGGCGTAATGATGATCCTGAACCTTCAGATTCACTTAAAGATGGTTACAAAGTCAGCCTTCTATCACCCAAAGAGCTTTTCCAGTATTAAAAGGTCCTTTGTCCCAACAAGATCTCATCCATGCTTTCCCTTTGTCATGCTAATTTCTCAAACACTGTCTTCACAGGTCTGCCTCAAAACATCCAGAATGCTGCTGCTTGCATTTTCACTAAAACCAAAAAGACAGAGCACATCACACCACTTCTAAAGTCCTTACACTGAGAGAACAGATTTTAAAATACTGTTGTTTCTTTATAAATCACTGAACGGTTTAGCACCACAATAAGTTAAAGATCTGTTGCTGTTGTAACAACCTTCCAGACCTCTCAGGTCTTCTGGTTCTGGCTCTGCTCTGCATCCCCAGAACCAAACAGGGAGAAGCAGCTTTCAGCTTCTATGCTCCACAAATCTGGAACAAACTTCCAGAAAACTGCAAAATTGCAGAAATACTGTTACAATAGCTCATTCTTTTCATAGTTTAATTTTGATGTATTTTTTCCTTCCTTTCATTTTTATTTTCTTTCGGATGTGTTGATCACAAAGCTTTATTTAACTGTTGTTCTTGAACAAAACGTGAAAAGTTCAAGTTTTGTGTAACGTGCAGTACTTTTCTAAATTCAACATCAAAATGGAATTGGAAATTTTTTTACAATATTTCAAGCAAGAACAACATTTTCTCTTTGATGGGACTTCTTTGGTTTCGGGAGCAAAGAGAACAACGAATCATTGAACAAACCGCACAATCACACGTCCATACAGTGCAAATTTATCTCTGTGATCACATGAAGTTCACTGATTTTTACTCTCTGATGATATTTACAAGCCTGCTCCATTACAGAAAATAGTCTGGCTCATTAAGCTTTGTTTTTCTGTTTTTCAAGCTGAAGGAGCTCCATACATCTAACTTTATCTCCCTCTCTATCAGACATCCGGGCACTAATCTGTGGCTGATGCTGCAGCGAGACAGCTGAGCCATTCGTTTGGGTCCCAGAGGTATCAATTACACCGAGCCAGACAGCAGAACCAGACAGGAGCTGGGAATTAATGATGGTTTCATGACTCGGGCTGGAGCAGAACACACTGTGGGAAAAAAAAAAAACACTCTCTGAGCGATAACTCCCCCTGGTGGACGCTGGTCAAACTGGACTGATTCAAATCCTTATTCTTTTCTTTTCTTTTTTGTTAAATTCAGTGCTTTTAACTAACCAAATACCCAAATTAAATAGCTGAACTCCCTTCAAAAGCACAAAATTAACAAAATAGACGTAGCTACTTGGAAAAAGACGAACACGAACAGAACCCGGAGCAATGATTATGATAAAATCTAACAAGAAATTCTTAATTCAAGGCTAAAATTCTAAATATGTTCCAGATGAAAAAAATCTATATGAAGAACAAGTCCAGGACCACTATAGATTTGTGCCTGGCCACTTTTTACCGAATTTGTTACGCAAGTCATTCATTGTTACGTTTTATGGATGCCAATGATTTGGTGACAAATAAAATTTGGATGCAGGGGGAAATCAAAAGCGCTCATGTTCATAAGAAGAATCCGTCTCCTGCACAAAAGCGCAGATTCAGTTGAAAGGTGTTATCAATGAGAAAATGTGAAAACCAATTTAAAAATAAAACCTTTTGAACGATTTGGGGATGTTTTCTACAAAGTCCAGCGCTATTTGTATGTAGATTGATTGTTGAGGGTGAAAGTAGAGAAAAAGGTGGATAAATGAACACAGGATGAGGCCATTAGGTCAATGTTTAAAACAAATCCCTAGCTTCATCTCAACTGACCAGAGCATCTTCTGATTTTTACCAGTCGCCACATTTAAGTTTCCTGGTTTCCTCTACTACCTGAGGCGTTGATCTCTGCAGCTCCTCCAGAGTCATGTCAGTTCAGACGGTCGGCCACGTCTTCGTCCATCTCCATGGATCTGTGCAGGACATATTTAGTTTACACGCTGACACACTTTTAATGTTCTCATTTGTAAATACATAAATAAAGAAGAAATTAATGCATTCTTATGCACAATCTTTTGTTGATCTATCATAATGTCCAGTGAAGAACATTGCAGACATTTTAAGGTGCTGCATAAAAAATAAAACCTTCATGATGGACCCACAGCACAGCCCCCCTCCTCCATCTAGCCTCCCCACAGCCCCCCTCCCCCCCATGGCTCGTTGCCATGGAAGCTGATTGGATGGATCGCTCCGTCTCCCCTGCACATCGGTGCCGGAGATGAACAGGACAAATCAGAGACCAAACCCGACAGCCGCTCAAACCAAACAAAACTCTTAGACTCTGAATGAATTTAATATATCATTCAGATTTTATACTCATCTCAACACGCACACGCAACAAGGACAGTTTCATCTCCTTAACAAAACCTCATTTGCTCATTTTCATTTTAAAATTGATATCCTTATTTCTAGGCTTTATTTAAAATCGAAATATGTCCATATTTTTCCTTTTTTTTTTTTTTTTTTAAATAAGGTTGTAAAAATGTATTTGTAAAACCATTTCCTCAGAGTCTGCACTTCGCTTGAATACGAGCAGAAGAAGAAACGCCGTGTTCAAGGCTGCGCCGCTTTAATGAGAGGACCTGACGTTCCAGGTCCAGCATCGCTATGGCAACAACATGTGTGGGGGCCGAGTGGTTAATCATATCGTTTTCATTGACATTGTTGATGTCAGTCATACGATTGATTGATTACAGAGTTTACATTAACTTCAGTTTGGACGATTAATCTGTTGTGAACACAAATGCAAAATGGAGGTAAATTCTGGAAAGTCAGGAAAAAGGTGACAGATTTAAAAGAAATGTTTTACTCTGACGGTGAAACATGGCGATGCAGGTATCATGCTGTGGGACACTTTCTTATGCAGGGAAAGGGAACCCTGGTTCACTTAGTTTTGGAAGTCTTGATATTTTTTTTCTTCACATTTTTCTTTGCAAATTAACTCAAGGTCTGTGTTTTCACCGTGGAGAAAATAATATTCTTTTAATCCCAAAAATTCACAAACTTCGTCCAGTCCACTGGTCATACATTTGCACTTGTGACAGACAGAAAAAAAAAACTACTTAGTTATTTAGCAAGGGAGCCTCAACCGACTACTCATGTAATGTAAATGTCTGAGTGGGACTCAAACTTTTACCTGACAGAAAAATCTGATGAGAAAAGAAAAAAATTACTGAATATATGAGATTAAATAGTCCGTTTGATTCTCTTTTTTTTCAGGTTTTCCTTCTGAGTCTGGAAACTCAACTTTTAAGCAAATTAAAGTTGAGTTGTTTTTATCTATTTGAACAAGCTCGTGAAACTGTTGGTGTGTTTAAGTGTGATGCACTGGGGCAGAGTTATGAAATAAACTTTCAATTTGGTACATTGTTTCTTGTGTTTGAAAGAAAGAAAGATTTTAAGACGATTCAGCATTGGTTTTCTGTATCTGACTTGGTACTGGCGGACACTAAACCTGAGATATCGGTATCGGAAATGAAAAGAAGCAGATCGGTGCATCACTAGACATAACCCGTTTCCTCTTATCCTTTTGGTTCCTGCCTTTGATTTCAGATTCAACGCAACAAGAAGAGTGATCGGATAAATAAAGCCCGTCGCGTTTGCGTTCTAAAAACTATTTCTCTTATTTCCCCTCCCTGCCTCACTGAGCATCCACACTCTCAGAGGTGGAGCAAGATCTCAGCGAGCTTGCTTCACCTCTGTCAGGCTCGAGCGCTTCCAGCCGGCAGCAGCACCAAGCTAACAAGTCTTTGTGAGGAGCGAGGGAGAGGAAGAGGGGAAGGAGGGGTTGCGGAGCAGGAGAGAATCAGACGGCGAGGGAGCTGACAGCGCGAGCACAGAATGAGGGTGCAGCGGGAGCGGGCATAAGACAGCGACGGAGGCGGCACAATAGTGCGAGGCGCTGCTGGAAAGAGATAAATAAGGAAGAGCAGGCATCATGACAGCGCTCACTCCATCGTCACGGCACATGGGGAATTCTGGCCGCCGCTGCTGAACATTGTGTGATGCAGAGGAGAGAGTCGGGAGGACCGCCGGGAAACCAGAAGCAAGAGACGGAAACAGGTCAGTGAAGACGGTCAGAGCAGCAGGGAGCCGAACCAGCTCGGCCTCCGGGAGGTTCGCTTACGTCACATGGTGGCACTGACTTCCATTTGTCAATGAGGAAGATCTCATGTCAGTGTTTGGGATGAGGACATGAATGAGTAGTGGGAGGCTGTGCGTGCATGCAGGCATCAGAAAGTAACGGGGCTCAGTCACTCAATGAGGGATTTCGGGCTAAAACGGGCGCATGGATGGGGATGGAAGGTTTTAAACATACAACACTCATCGCTGATTTATCTACGACGCCGTCGTGCCCTTTCGTTTTCTTATACCTTCGAAAACGGGAAGCGCAGGGACTTTGCACTGATAAAGAAAATTGTATAACACTGTAGGAGGCAGACAAAGCCGGTCCAAGAGGAAAACCTTGGCTCATCATTCAGCCCTGCTGCATGTGATGTAATCCTCAACCAGCCCAATGTCTCTACTGAGTGACTGATTCTGACTGGAAATAAAAACAAACAAAAAGTTGACGAGGGTTGCCCTAAATAAGCCCCTTTTTACGCCCAACAACTGACTGCGTCTAGAACTGCTGTTTCATTGCTCATCAACATAGAATAGGATGACATCTGGTTTGCCCAAATCTAGGTAAGATCATTGCATCTTTGACATGACTCGTTTTCTATTTGCAAGGCGTCACAAACAGGCAAGGTCACCCAAGAACACTCAACGTCTATTAGTGGAAAACCCATTTATAAAATCAGTGTACGAATAAACTCTGTTCTTGCGTAACTTCAACATATTTCAATGAGATTTCAAGTGGTAGACCAATAGAAAATAGAATGTTATATTGAAGCAGAAGGACTGGTTTTCAGGACTTTTCTGGTTCATTTGTGGACAGTGAGGTGGGGAGTCTTTAAAATTTGGAAATGTGTCAGAGGAACATGCTGCAAGACTTGATGCTGCATTTTCAGAAGTCGGTTCCGAGAAAAATAATGACCATGGGGAAATTAATACAAATATACTTTCTCGGCAATTGTCAGAACTTGCCCACAACAAAATCTGGAAAAAAGTTGAAAGGTTATGAATATATTTGCAAGGCGCTGTCTGGACATAATTCTGCCATGCTTAATTCAGAACATTTACCTTACTAATTACTTTTGATGGACTGGTAGTTAAGACAAAGTTTGTTTATGTTTTGGAAACTCCAAAATTTTGATGTAGAAGCATCACATGCCACTACAAGTTTGAATTCACCACAGTTATGCAACGGGTAAACAAAAAGGTGTTTTATTATTAGACTGGATTATGGTGCATTTACTTTTTCTTAATTTTGAAATGTCCAAATACTTCAAATGCGAGCCAGAAGGCCAGGAAAGGTTTCTGTCGTTCTCCCGGTTTAACAGGCTAACCACTATTAGCAAAACATGCCAATAATGATGCCATATCTCAAACAAATATGCCTTTAGATGCTGAGCAAATTGTTCTGCAACTGAGGATGTACAGTGTGTGCAAGTATCAGTGCATGGTAGCAATATTGTACTTTAAGGTCAAACTTATTAACTAGAATACGCAAAGCAAAATTAAGAGTTTTTATTGTCAAAAGCAACAAACTGTATGCTTTTTGGAAATAATGTAGTCAAATATTCACCATTCATAACCACATTATGCTCTTTTGTAGATTTATAACCATGAAATTGGTCTCTTTTCGCAGATAATGTTATGCTACATTTGCTTGACTATCGCTACCTTTTGTTGTCAGTGAGTTGTTGGGAGTTTTGTGGCTCAACAAAGCTGCCTTGAGACAGTGATGAAGATATAAAGTTGTATACTAAAACAAACAAAAAATTTAACAAAAGGACAAAAAGTTGGGGATTTTCCACCCTTTGCAAGCTACACGCTAGCTAGATGGGTAGCTTGTTGTTTGCAAAGAAATATGCTTGATTTTAAGCTAAAAGAGAAAGAAAATGATTCCGGTATTCTGTCTGAAAGGTTTCAACAAATTAAAAAGTTAAATAGGTTTTTGAAAAAAGTTGTGAAGTTTCGTCAGTCTGTTTTATGTCAATGTGTCTGTCGCCCAGGTGTGACCAGCAGGACCTGCTGCAGGATGAGTGGGATCCTGAAGAGAAAGCTGGAAGAGGAGCCCTCCTCTTATTTGTCTCTGCAGGGCTCAGAAGATGACGAGGTTTCCTGCAGCGACAGCGGCAACAGCAGCGATAGTCTTAATAATTCGGTCCCCTCCGGGATTCTAGATCGTAAGATCTCACCAACAAACCTTTCTTGTTTTATTAACCTGATTGGTAAAGGTTTTAAGAATTCAGGAGGCAAAGAGAATGAGCTTTAACAGCGCAGTACATCTGTAGGATACTGTTGAAGAAGTGAACAATTATGAAGTGGAATTAAAGCAGTTTATGAATAAACTATTTTATTTAGTCAATTTTAAACAATTGACTACTTTCTACAAATATAATTAGCGTACATCTGCTCAAGCTAAACTTACTTGTCATAGTTATTTCTACTTAAGCTAAAATTATTATTTATTTAATATTTTAATTTTGAGACTTTAATCAAAAATGTAACGCGATGGTTTGCCCATGAAGAAAAGACAACAAAATTATCAAAATTAAGGTAATGTTGATTGTGATCCTTTACTTTCTAGACAATGACTGTAAATGTTTTTTGCAAGCAGACATACTTCCAATTATCAAAATTTGGTGTTTTGTTGGTCATCTAAGACTGACAGCAACAAGTGGGGGAGGGAAAATGTTACCTTGCTTTGTCAAACGTTGTTCTTTTGGTAATTTGTCTGGCATTTCATTCAAAGTATTTTAAGCTTTATCCGTGGCTTCATGGAAAATGTTTTAGTATTTCTCCTATGAAAGATTTTCCGTTTATGCCACACATTGATGTTTGAGATTTTTCACATAATAACTTTCATTTACTGAAAAGAAAAAGCTCTCCAATATAACATGAATCGGTGTTTTGTTTGGACAGTGGGGAAGAGATAGAGGCATCCTGTCAGACCGTCAGTTCCTGAAACCACAAAAAAAAAAAAACGCAGGGTCCTGTTGGGACCACGCACAGGGTAAAAAGATTAGACCCCAACCTTTAAAGAAATTCAGATGAGACAGATGAGACGGTCAATGATTTCAAGCCATTTGAAAAGAAAGGACACGAAGCAATGTCACAGAATTTGGGACTTTAGTAGACCACAGTAAGATTCACTAGCAACAATTAGGAAATATTTATGTGCAGATATCACAGCACTGTAAATACAGTATATAGAGAATGCATGTCAAATGCCCTTTAAAAAACATGTTTTGCGTCTCCTAAATAAGCGTAGCCACTGCTTCAGCTTTATCATGGATTTGTGTCTCCCTCTTCTATGTCTTACTGTTAGCCTCTGTCCAGCGGCAGTCAAAGCGACTGCGGGGACGTAATGTGCACTTTGAGAGCGTCACCGTGTACTATTTCAGCCGGCGCCAGGGCTTCACCAGCGTGCCGACGCAGGGTGGCAGCACCCTGGGGATGTCGCCGCGTCACAGCGGGGTGAAGCGCTTCACCCTCAGGGAGTTTGCCATGGAGCAGAAACGGAGCCATCGGAACATGCTGAGGGATCATCTCAAAGAGGAGAAACTCAACGCCATCAAACTCAAAGTGGGTGAAACGACCCATCGCCAGCTTTCAAATTTAAATACGTGTAACATTCTCGGTTTCGTATCTCCAGCTAACCAAGAACGGCACGGTGTCCTCCATGGAGGCCGATAGCCTGACACTTGACGACATCTCAGAAGATGACCTGGATGTGGACAACACGGAGGTGGACGACTACTTTTTCCTCCAGCCCCTCACTACCAGGAGGCGGCGCGCGCTCCTCCGTGCCTCTGGGGTCCGCCGCATCGATGTGGAGGAGAAGCACGAGCTGCGCGCCCTGAGGATGTCTAGAGAGGAGTGTGGGTGTCGCTGCCGAGGGATATGCGACCCAGTGACCTGTGCTTGCAGCCTGGCCGGCATTAAGTGCCAGGTAAATGGAAATGTGGTGAGGCACATCTATAATACTAAAGTTTTGTAAATGTCTGTCTGTGTATGAAAACGCATCGAATATAAAATGACCTCTTAGAATCAGGAGGATTTGTTTGTGTGTCCTTACAATTAATCACGATGCAATTATATATGGATCTGATGAGATGAGAAAAAGTTTATACTTTCTTTTTTTTTTCAAAACACAAACTAAGCTGCTCCGCATCTGCCTTTGTTAGCATCGTGTTCTGAGGAACTCGATAAAACAATGTAATTCTACCTGGAAATTTACAACTCTTGTTCCAAACTGAACTTTACCTCTGATGATTTCAAGGTTGTGTCTTGTACTTAGTGCACATGAGTTTTTTCATGAGTCTGGACTATATTTAGTCACATGGAGTTAGATATCGAAAATACTGAATAAACCTGAAATGGATCATTTTTTAAAGCTTTTATAGGACTTTCAGTTATTATCTCAAATATAGACAATAACCAAGGTCACATGAAGATGAAGATGATCAATCTGCCATTTTTAAAAATATCAACTGAATAAAAATCACTCCGAACATGTTTGGACGTTTTGGGTTTTTTTTTTCTGTTTAAAAAAGATTAAAATGATCCTTTCCTTCAATATTTCCTTCAGAATTGCCCCAAATCTAAAACATCAGACAAATCCGGCAGATTTCACAGCAGATTCTGAACTTCTCCCCAACTCATGCCTGGCTCTGATTGGCAGCTGCCTCTCCTGTGTGTGTGATGTTTCCTCCCTTGTCCTCCTCCCTCCAGGTGGACCGCATGTCCTTCCCCTGCGGCTGCACCAAGGACGGCTGCAGCAACGGCGCCGGGCGGCTGGAGTTCAACCCGGTCCGCGTGCGCACCCACTTCCTGCACACCATCATGAAGCTGGAGCTGGAGAAGAGCCGCGAGGAGCAGTACCAGCAGACGGAGCAGCAGCTTGTAACCAGTGGCAACGGTTACCACGGCAACACCACCTTGATCCAGCAGCAGCAGCAGCAGCATAACCCTCAGTCTCTGAAGATGAACAATCCCATCATGCATCTCCAGAGCACGGGTGACTCCGATTCGCAACTAGACGAGAACGAGGAGGAAGAGGAGGACGAGGATGAAGAGGAGGAGGACGAGGCTTACGACGAGGACGGCAGCAGCGTTTGCAGCGGGCTGTCGGACTGCAGCACGCACAGTCTAGAAACTCTCGACCCGGAGGACGCAGAGGAAGACGACGAGGACGAAGAGGAGGAGGAGGAGGACGAAGAGGATGAGGAAGAGGATGAAGAAGATGATGAGGAGGAAGACTGGGAATGTTCATTGCACGGACTGAATCCTCCCTCGTACTCCGTGCCCCTCCCCTCTGTTCTGAGTTACACCAACAGCCCCCTCGGTCTCAGCGGCCCGTTCCACAGCGCCCCCTCCCTGCAGCCCTACCAGCTGGACGGCTCGGCGAGCGACACGCCCGCCTTCCTCAGCGAGACCCTGAACGCTGCCGCGCCCATGCTCCCCTCGGTCGAATCCGCGCTGGAGTCCGAAATGGGCGCCGAGCCGCAGAACCGTTTCTCCGAGCTTGGCCCCGGCCTCCGCAAAAACCCAGACTGCGCCGACTCTCCGCCAGAGCAAGAGCCGCCGCAGCCAACGATGTGTGGAGACATCAGCCACACAGCGGCCTCAGAGGACGCCTGATGAGGAAGGACTGACATGGATTGTTCTTCAGAGAGGAAGTGAAAACATGTTCCACCCATTCCCTTACAGATTTTGTTCACTTTTTACCTTTTTTTTTTGTCGCATGTACATGCTTCAAGATCAAACTAATTAGTAAAACCTGAGTAAATACAAAATGCAGCTCTCAATGATGACATCACAGAAAGAAACTGTCCAATGAGTCACTAATCACTCTTGAACTTCATCACCGAAATGATTCCAAAACATCAACACAGGCTGCGTTTCCATTACAAGGGTGGGCAAATCTTTGACTCCATTTCTCTAACGTCGAAAAGACACAACTTCACAATCGTGGTGTTTTCATCAAGTAACAAATTATATGAAAACCAGGTGTAAATAAGCTTGTTTACGCAATAAGACATGGTAGCGACAACTCCATGAAGCAAATGCGTAATTCAGCAATGGCGCCAGCTGCACTGTCTGAAAAAAACTATTCCAAACATCCTCCTCCTACCACTTCCTGTTACTGCCAGTGGTAACATCTGTCACAGTTTTGCAAGATACATTTATTTCGATACAGCCGACAAACCACAGCGCAAAAACTCTTTTTCAAAAACAGTTTTTTGTTTATTTTGTTGTTTTGAAATTGCCGTTTTTCCATTAAATACATTTATTTTTCTATATTCAAATTGTGCAATTTATAGTTAACAAAAACGCAGCTAATTTATTCAGGCAGTCACAGAATATCATCTTTCATTATAATCTTAACTGGTACTTCTTGCAATAACAAAAAAAGTGACAATAGAAAGTATTTAAAAATACATTAAAGTATTTTTTTCTGTGATTAGATCTTAAGGTTATGACTTAATATCAAACACATCCATTATGAAAAAGGCTGCAATTTGTACTTACTCAGGATATCTGATATCAATATTTCTTGAAAAGTCTAAGACAGGGATGTTCAAAGTGTGGGCCCCGGGCCATTTTTGGCCCTGGAAGTGATTTTGTTCGGCCCGTGACAACCTGTCAACAATGGTAAAAATTGTTTATGACAAACAAAAATGGAGAAATGGCTGTTCTTCTTTTAATAAGGCAACAGACTCAAGCCTTGTTATATTTTGGATATTTAAAGACATCCAATTTTTGTAAAAGCAAACAAACTAAAAACAATCTAACTATATTTTGCATTTTAGATTTAATGAATTTTGACACGCCAGTAGTTCAATTTTAGGTGGTTTGTCAAAGATTTGGACATCATTGATCTGAGACATGCAAGTTTCACTAAATAAAAAAAAACCTGATAACAGTAAAAAGGCAAAGCCTTTTTCACAGCTCAGTACCTATAGAAGTTTGCAGTACCATTGATAAGTGCACTTTGAGGGACGGTCACTCATTTCAACCCAGTATGCACCAGGAGTTGAGTCAATCTAGGTTGTCCTCAAACCCATTTACGATCGTGTAATATGACAAACAAGGAGAATAAAACAATAACACAGTGGTTAGGTCTGCTACTTTGTATTTGCACTCTGTTTTACCGTTTGGGCTCCGTTTGCGACGTGTTTGCTGCATGTTTTCCGGTTGTGTCGGCATCTGTGACGAATCAGAACCGGATTTTGAGGTGCTTGTATTGGTTCGGTATTTTCTGTTGTGCTACTGTTGCTGCCAATGTTTCTGCAGTGCTTATCTGTATCGCATGTGTTCAGTTTACTGGAGATGTTCCTCGGTGTGCGCACTCTGTACGATTAAACATCTGTTGCAGGTGAAAAACACACCTCTATTGTAAAGACACACACCGGTCAACGGTTCGGTCAGAAACTTTGCAGTGCTTTGCGAAAGTATTCGCACAAGTTGAGCTTTTTCATATTTTGTCTCAGAAAATGAATCTAGAGACGTCATATAAAGCCACAGTAAAATACAGTAAAGTTGTGGTGTAAAGGTGACAAAATATGAAAAGGGTTCATATTATAAACACTTCTGGAAGGTACTATATCTTGAACCCATCATTAAAGTGTCGTCGTTTTCCAACGATATCGCTTTAATTTATTTCAACTAATGTTCTTCTCTCCTAAAACCAATCCAAACTGGCTTTATTTAGCCATGTCCTTTGTTTCCTGAAAGGTGATTTAAAAACAGACGTAGCAGGGTGAACTTTACGGTCATTCTATTTATAAAATTAAAGTTCTTTTGTAGAAAGAATGCTAATGTTACTAATACAGTCGTTAGCACTTCCCTCCATCATCAGGTTAAAACAGTGCAGAAATGTCATCGGCATCTGCTTCTGAGAATATTCTTCACATGTTTAAATGTATAAAAGCTCAAGGAAATATCTTGTTATTAAGCGCTGAAAGGAGTTAGCTTTGTGATTAGGCACAACATTTAGCAAATCCCAGTTTGCCACTAGACAACCTCTTGGACGTGAACTAATTCCAAGTTTATCCTTTCAAAAATCAAGACAAAAGGGACACAAGGCAGTTTAGGACGAGACTCATTCCAGTGCTCGACATCTTTAACAAGCAAGTCGAAGCTCTAGTCAATGCAAAACCTGACTAGCTAAGGTGCTAGTCGGGGTTTTAATGCAAATTAGTTAAGTTGCATATGAAGTGTTTGAGCAAGGAGTTTAAGCAAAGTTAAAATCACACTAACTTTTACATGCTCGCCAACAACAAGGTCTGAATGCATACTTTTTACTTACTACTCCAGGTTATGTAGCGTCGCTGACAGCTGCCCCATTCATTCTCCATGGTCACCTATAAAAACACGTAACAGCTTCAGAGGCTTTTACGATTCTTCAGTCCGCAGAGTTGTATCCAGGTAGATAAACTATAGGCAAATAACCTGTAGAAACGTTGGCGAGTCTCTCAGTCTCAAAATGTCGCTAAAAACAAGAGAGAGAAGATAACGGCACAGAAAGAAGCGACCAGTGTTGACAGTCGAGCGCATGCGCAGTGCATATCGGAGAATCAGAATCAACAAGAGGAAAATGTGGAGTCTTGACTAATATCCGAGAAAGACACGCGAATAAAATGGCTGCACAAACTCTTCACATGAATAAAAAGGTGACTGTATATCTACGGACACATTGGCTTACATATAAGTCCATCTGAGCTTGCAGATAAAAGCTACCAGTAGCTAAGCTACCAGCTATTCCCTCTCAGTGTTCTGCACTTTCTCCATCCACGACTTCCAAATTTCTAGTAACACAGATTTATCTGACATTATAGTGTTACATTATTATTATTATTTTAGTTTTTAAACTACAAGAATTTGCACTATACCTTTGTATCTTTGTCTGTTTTTTAATTCTTGGACTTCCGAAACTTCACAACGTCGAGATAAATTCGTACTGTGCTGCGTTTGAGTGCACCTCGAAAAAACTAAATACTGCACCATTGCGCCGGTCCCATGAGTGCGCATGCGTGTTCCGATGGACATATTGCCAACAGTTACTGAAATAATATTTAACTGGTGGCTTTGGTGTTAATTATACCTGAAAAAATAGAAGTTTGCTCTAAAAGGTATCGAGTATTATTTATGGAATGAACAAAAAAAAAAAAAAAACACGTGATTTTTCTCAATTTTTATCCAGCAGATGGCGTCTCACTCCTATCGAACCACTTAATGACGTCGTTGACGTCATTAAACGCGAGGGCACGTAAATTATTCTTCTTGACTTAGGTGTGTTTCTTCCATTGCACTGTTTCTAAGTTACATTTTCAAGAACCTCCAACTGACTGTTACACATTTGCCCACACACCGCAGGGTTCTTGAAGTGATGTTTTGTGGGCCTGTGATTGGGTGTTGTTACGCCTAGGGGCCTCTAGGGTGCACTGCTGAGCTAACCACAGTCATATGGATCCTGTGGGTGAGGCTTGTTTGACCAGCTTGTTTTTAAAGCACTTCATTTATGTATGCCTCATTGTACAAAGCAGGTGATGTGCACAATATGAGCAAATAATGTCAAGCAAAACCAGCCATATGATCCTCCAATGGCGTAACTCACAATGGATTTCATTAGGAATACAAAGCCACCATCTGACCGCATATAATGCACGTCCGGTAAGGTGCGCTTGTTTGCCTTTTTGTTTGCAAGGTATTATGGGTAGGCAGGCTGCTGATCAATCACAGGCAGCAGAGCTGTGATGTTGGGTCGCTAGGCAACAGGAAGGGAGAAGAAGCAGAGGCAGAAGCGTTTGAAGGGAGCATCAGGGTGGGGGGTTGTCTCAGCTTTTTGTCCCCCGTCTCCTTCCTGCCTGTTACTCCATGCAGCTCCTCCTTCACCATCAACATCTGTGTGAGTCTTTCTCTGGATGATTTGTCCACCTAGAAATCTAATCATTCTCAGAAACAGAAATGAAGATCGAGGTAACATCTCCATCTTAATCTAAATCCCTGATTTGATTAAAGAATCTCACAAAAGTGTGCACCCGTTTCACCCTCTGGCAGGGCTGATTGACCTACTTTCACACTCCCAGGACGTCTACATTCTCCACAATGTCTTCATGCCGAAAACGCGGTCAGAGTAAACCCATAGTGTCTTGCAAAAGTACAAAACAACAAATATCTTTCACCTTTTGTCAAGTTAAAATCACAGAACAGGGAGGTGTTTTATGAGAAGCAACGCAAAATTGCGATGCAGAAGTCTCACCTCAATGTCAAAAATGTCACACCTAAATCACAAAATGCCTCTCACCTCCTTCCGTCACCGCTCTCTCCATCAAATGAATGTGTCTGGCATGCAAAACAGGTTTTCCAAAATCAGTTTTATTTTGGAATTCTGGATTTTGTGTTTTGTTGCCACATCTTTGGTTATAACAAATAAATAAATAAAAATAGTCACTTGTCACATTTTGCAAATCGATACATAGGTGCAAGATGAGATTGAGTCACATGAATGACCCTGACTGACCTCTAAAGCAATCGCATTTCATCACGCTCTGGGACTTCGACGAACTCAAACGTGATGTGGGAAATTAAAAAAGGAAGGAGGGAGAAAATAAATAAAACAAAGATTTACAAAAAAATATGTTCTTTATTCTTTTGGCTTGAAAACGATATCATGTGAGCGGGGGAGCAGTCACTTCCTGCATGCAGTTCACTAAAACACCACAAGCGCAATGAGAGATGGCGACGGATTGCTTCATGGCTCCTATCTACAGACATGAGGACCAAACATGTGTTTCATCAGGTGTTACAGTGCAGGAAAAGGGAAGATATCACCTCATAGAAAAGAAATCAAAAATGAAATGCAACGACGTGAAAATGCACTCATATCTACATGAAAAATGTTTTGTATAATCGGCAGAACAGAAGCGACCATCAGAGCCTGGTGGCACACAAATAAGAGACGGACAGTGACATCCTCGCCGAGTCTCGCACAGATGCGGACATGGGCGACAGCCACACGTGGAATTACATAGCAGTGAGGATAAAAAGTGCTCTTACATCAAATGTAAGTGTGATGCATACTGTGGGCCCAAATAGCTAATATTTACAAACCGAACCACCACATTAAAAAAAAAAAAACATTCGCTTTCTCAATTCAAACAACATGAGTGGCGTACAAACATTTTGTGATATTACAGCTTTTAATTGTGATATATTGTCATGTTCTCGCTTGAAAGCAGGTAGAAAGACATCTCTTTTTTTTTCTTCATTTAGAGTCTGTTTCTTAATGACATTTTGTTTTCCATGAGCTCTGTAGGATGGAGAGAGCAGGGGGTCTGGGGGACAAACGGGAGCACAGTGAATGCACCACGACAGCGGGTGAACAAGTAGGTCGGGGTGTTGCCTTAAAAGACAGATTTTTGGGGGGAAATTCGCTTAACTTTGCTGCCAAGAGATAGATGAGGATATTAATACCACTCCTGCAATGGCACACAGTGGAACCTTTTGTAGGGAAAACAACAAAATATTCTACATAGAAAACCACTATTATCCATCAAGGTCTGGTTAACGTATCTGGCACGAGTTGCATCCACCTATTGCTGAGAGGTCTAGTTTCAGTATTTCTTGCCAATATATGAGATGGTGCCAAAAGAAAAGCCAAAATCTCTGACAAGATGTGCAAACTAAATTAGGAAGACCCATTCTTTAATGAACAGAAAATTGCATCTCAGCTGCCTCAGGTGCTGGGGCATTTTCACAAGTTTGCCATTTTGTACCCAACTTTTTGTTTTGCAGGTACGAAACGAGCCGTGAAAGCGCGGGTGTCTCACACCAATTGTGTTTGAAATAGCTGCTTTGACAATCGAGTAACTTTATCATTTACATACATATCATTTACAGAGTCTGCTGTCAAGAAATCGGGACTGTTTTTGGTTTATATTTTCTAAGAGCAGGCAAAGAGTCTCCATAACCAAAATCAATGGAAGAGTAATACAAAATCTTGAAACTAAAATACATTTAAAATAAATTAGTTGTATTTGTACTTTATTATTATTATAATTTGTAAAAATATCTAAGCAGAAAGACAAAGAAATGACTACACAATGGATTAAGCATATTTGTTGAAGGGTACAAAATGGAAAAGGGATGGATGGCATGGTTCTGAAATAGTATAACAAGGATTTGACCACTTTCCTAGCTAACTCTAGCAGCTTTAACTAAGGTCAATGCTTGAAATAAGCAAGACTTTTTTACTAAGTTGATCTTCGGAAAACACAGCTCAGCTGCTATTGGTCAGTTTGCCTTTAACTTTTTTGCACCATTGGTCTTTAACCACAGGACTTTAAATATGTAGTATCAATCTGTGCCCACCAGGGGTACGTTCGGTATCCACTTGAACAACCAAGAATCTACTTATACTCTAATGTAGGGAATTATAGCTATTTGACTCCAGTAAATAATATCTGGACCCATTTAATGTGGTCCAAGCAAACCCATAAATGTTCACACATTTTAGTCATCCATGCACGTGTTTGATATATTCTCTATTTCTCCTCTTGAGCTTCCAACCGCATTCACACTTTGCTTAATCAGAAGACAAAATGATCTCTTCTATGTGTTTATGATGAAATTGAGTTTGGATG